GCATTCTTGAAAACTTCCGAAAGAGGTTGGATGCTTGCATTGAAACGAAATATGGTCATTCTGCTTGCGAGATGTGATATGTTGTTTATAATTTTGTGGTGATTGTGTGGGAGTGATAGTTCCCTATTTGGTTTGATTTGTATAATTTTGATGCTAGTTTTCTGCGTCACATTTCATGTGGGTCACCCTGTATATAAAGCATTAACTCGGCGGGTAGGTTGATGGAGTAGAGTGAGTACTGCGGAGTGAAGCGAGTAATGTGAAAAGAATGGGGTACTTGGGGACTGTGTTTTCGATCTGTACTAGCATTGTGTTATGTATATCTATACAATACTCGGGGATCATAATGTATTAGGTTGATGCATAATTATTGCGGATTTTTTCCAGCGAATTTTACTTAAAGAAACGATGGAAATATTTAGCAAACACACGTTCAAATAACTAGTCTAAAACGTATCCACAACCCACGTCAAGCACTGCTTCCCATTTGCTAGGCAGCCGGATTCCACAGGCGAAGAAGTTTCAGTCCTTGGAGGCCATCCTCACCTTGACATCGGCCACCAAATCATCTATTTCGTCGTAAGGCCTGTTTGCTAGCCAATCATTCAAGGAATCGGTGACGCGATAACTTAGGAGTTTCCATCGGTCAATGTGGATACTATGGAGCAAATCCTAGCCCTCAGTTGGCTTTGGCTGACAATTCCATCACCAAAAAGTTCGTTGAGATCGCGTAATGTGTGTGCCGCCTTCCATCATTCCTCGAAGTAATAAAGCATAATGTGGCGAGTAAGAAGATGACTTTCTAGACATATTTCTATTAAGGAAAGCGAGTAGATTATCTCTAGAAAATTCTCGACTTCGATATTGAAATTGTGTGGAGAGAAGAAGCCGCGAAAAAATACGCAATAGTCATGCATCAACCTATTAATTAAGGGACCTCTGCTTTTTTTCAACATTGCGCGCTAAAGAGAGGTACATAAGAATGTTAGTCCATAATAGTGCTCAGGAACGTTTCATAGCCGAAAACATAAAGTTTTTCGATCTGAGCTTCAGGAGCACCGAGGTGGGTGAGTCAATTGAATTTCAATTCACAAAAAACCCCAGCATTTTGCAAAGGGTAATTACTCACTCCAATCTCAACGCTCCTCACCTCCTGAGTGTTAGGTAGAAACCATGTTCTTTCGCCCAGAACCAACACGCATCACAGGTAAGGTGTTGCGAGTTGGTTCTACAACGAATAAGGACTGGTACTCGACTGGTTATACAATGAAAAAGAAAATCCAACACAACAGCTTATGGTTAGCTACCAAAATGCTCGAAGGGTCCTACTCGTTCAAGAAAAGATTGTGGAAGAAAGAAATTGCTTCGTCAGAGACTTTTCAGAAGAGGGCTGAACTGGCCTGAAGTCCTTAACCTATTTACTGACTTATATGGCACGACTTTAGTTGTATGCGAGCAACAGCAACAAACCATTCTTTTCTATCTTTGCGATTACCATTAATGCATGACTCAGAATCCGTCGAAAATAGTTATGTAGGGGGTCGTGCGGCTGCATTCGCAGCTGCTTTACTTGATCGACCAGCGCATAGCCGTTCTTCTTGTTCATCTGTCATAATCTCTTCTCGGGACGTGATCGCTCCATCGAATTTTGATGTTCCTTTATTCCAACAAATCGCGAAGGCGAGACATATTCTGCTCATTCTGCGCATATCGATGCATTCGATGATGTATTCCGGCTCAACATTGGGTGATCCAGTAGAACCTCAAAAGAAATCGCTCGAGGCTCTGTGGTTTACGCGCTCAAAGCCCTTGAATTGGATGCATTGGTCACCCGTGTCTCCGACGCGTAACAGAGTGAAGGAAGAACTGTGAAATAGAATAAATTAGCGGGTTCTTCCGGATCAGACTGATGGTTGGTGACTTGATCCAGAGGTCCGAAGGTCGCTCACCGGGCCTTTTGCCGTCTTACCAGTACTTCCTTCATATCGTGACCTATTATGGAACAATATTCCTTGGTAATCTTTGTGGTTGCACATGGGCCAAATCAAGACACCTCGATAGAGAAGAAGATCTCTCTCGAATCGTAATCAGAAGGTGGCAGCTAGCGGACTGAGTAGTGAATGTTTATCAAAGGAACCATTAATGCCCATACTTTTCTTTATAGACACAGGCGCATATTACTGTTTTCTAGGAAATATTGCTCAACATGGGCGGAGGTGGTGTAGTGGCAAGTGGCACACTTCACACACGCGCGGTCGCGAGTCCGAATCCCACATCCTTATTCACCTATACCAGCCAAGCCTTCCGTCCCTTCGAACCGGTTAAATGTTACCGACTCATCTGAGACGATAAAAGCGCTATTTGTACATCGACTGGCCACAGCAGGTCGTTGTATAGGCTCCATTTGCACTCGGTAAGCCGCTACGATTCTGAATGGAAGTCGAATGCGTGGGTCCCTCAAATTTCTCAAACGGGATCGATTATGCCTCAAAACAACATGACCAAAAAAGAAACTTGCTCACCTTTACGAACCATCCCCTCTCCTCCTCCCCTCAACTTTCTCACTTTGAAAAGATTAAGAAGGACCTTGTCGAAGCGAAAATATTGGCAGAACATGTCAAACTAGAAAAAAGTCGAGACTGCTGACAGGAACAGCGGACCGTGCGGCTGCGCGGGAACAACTCAAGGAAGGAGAAGAAGATGAGATAACGTCCTTAATAAACGCGGAGTTCATCAAGGAAAAGGGAAAATAAAAGGGTCTACATGAGCGTCTCCTTAGAAAAGTATTACGGTCATGAGTTTCTTGACTTTTCCTTTCTGGAATCGAAGTTTATTTCCGTAGTTCTTTG